ATACTTGTCACGTAAGCAAGCCAGCTTATTGTCCTTGAAATAATCGCTGACGGCCTTATAAGCTGAGAACAACGGTGCTTTACTTTCATAACCTCACCGAAATCGATTCTCATTGTTTCCCCAGTCGGAAGAAGGAATGGGGGAGAGGGAGAAATTGGTACCAGCCCACCACGAATACCCGAGTTGCCAACATCCCAGACACTCGGTCAGAAAATCTGGTTGGAGACTCCAAACGTTAAAGCCTCAGACGTCAGTCAGTCGCCACATGGTCCGGCTTCTCTGGTCAAACAGAGAGAGGCTTGCAGACCCCACTCTAGAAGGCCAACGCACTTGCAGCACTTAAAATCTGAGTAACGCCCCTCCTTCCCCTCTACGATGTCAAAGTCTGACCATCTTCAGGTTGAGCACAATCTGAAATAGGCAGCAGAGGAATCTCTTGTCTCAGTAAAACGTACCACGACATGGCTCTGTTATAGCAATTCGCAGATGAATCTCTTGGTGTAATGTCGGCTGTTTCACCAAGAATCCATTTTCTGATAACTTCCCTGCGAATTGGTTGGCGTCAGCCGTTGGCATCCATATTTTCGGTGGTCGGATACCTCAAGATGTCCCAGACTCCCGTATGAAGTACACTATGTGGTGGACGAACAACAACGGTTTGATGAATACGTCCTTTGAAGCCATCCAAAGCGCCTTCTTGATGTTAGAAATAGCGTACACCGACGAAAGCACATCCGTTCCGGGGATCCTATGCGCTAACTGGTTCTGTTGCACTGCTACTACGATATCTTCTAGATTTGCATTGCGCTCCGCACTGCCTTAAATACTTACGGGCACGTCAAATGACGTACGCCTTTAGCGTTACTGCACTTTGTGATCGCGAGGCACGTGTAGGCGGACTGGACGGATTTGGTCCGTTTTTCAATTAATGTTAGCTCCTTCTAACGTCCTTCAAAAATGAAAACAGAAAAGACTGTCTACTCCAGGTCAATAATGTTCTTGATAATGTTCTTGCCCTGGGCGCTTAAAGACTCCAACATTCATCTCACTGCCTCAGTAATAACGGAATTAGATACATGGAGGAACTTAAAGACCTTGTTGGACACTGCTATATGTAGGCAAATTTTGAGGAGCTCCACGTATAAACATGCGCGCACAGGTGCATGGTTGGAAACAGGTGACGGTGTTTAAAAACTTCAGAGATGCGAAATGTTACAACAAGAAGCAAACTAACTCCCCTGCGATTGCCACAATCCATCCTGGCGACAATTTCTAAAATGGACACCATTATCGACACACCCCATTCTGTTAAGACAACCTCTTCCTCCCTGACAGAGTCAAATGAGTTAGACAGACACTTGATTAGGGATTTCACCCTATTTCTGATCAGCTGGGAGCCCTTCCGGACCAGCATTTCGGTGTTACCTGAGGAACAAAAGGCGTTTGCCAATTTCCTAAGTCCTCGAGGGCTCTACTGCCCGCTGCGATGCCATTTAATAACCAGGCCGAGCAATCGCAGATGGCGGTTAAATCGGTCTTGAAAAGGTTTGACCCAACAATTTATATTATTCTCATTTTATATAGGAAAGGTAAACTCTGTAACGGTGTTTGGTTCGCTCAATGAGGACTTCTTCAGGCCCGTCGTACGTGTCAGGTAGAAGGTTTAAGACAGATCTGAAAAGTTTAATGCTTACGTCATCCCTCCCCATTCACTCAGCTTCTCGATCAACAGAGATGCACCTTTTATCAGAAGCCTGACAGTACGCTGGGTTGTACCACTCAAAGCCAGTTTACAAGCGGAATGCCCGATATCCCTTCAGAGTCACTGACAGCACCTACTAGTGAATGGAAGAAGGCCTTCGCTGCGGAGTTATCTATTAAGAAATGCCAACTGACCGGCTACAGACCATTGGACAGGGAAGCAAAACTCTCATTTGCATCTTATTTACAAAAACTGAATGCGCCTTCTTGAACTTTCCTGTATATTCATCGACTGCAATCATTCATCGCTCAAATCCAAGCTAATGTTACAAAGATTCCGCAACAGACCTCCCCATTTCAAAAGACGCAAAGCGAAATTCCACGAACAACACATACTACTGACGTGCCTCCCCACCAGTAGTACCACCGTTACACTAGTAAACGTTACCATTAGAGGATGTCTTGCAGGAAAGGGAGAGTTGGTTTACATCAGGGTTCGAAAGCTTCTCGGTGAGAGAGCGAGATGCGTGGAATTCTCACGGGCGTCTAGCAGGCGAGGAGCGCTGATGCTACTGTCAACCGTTCAACGGGAGACCGTTCGGCTCAATGGCTTAGAACAATGCCGACTCCAGCAGGAAGAGCAGAAACGGCAGCTTGTGGATGCAATGAAGTGCGCAATCAAAGGCTCATGGAAACCGAGGAGAGTTTGGCTCAGCGACTGGGCTTTGAACCCCCATTTCAACAGTAAAGAAGTCCAGCCCACAGGGAACAGTAGTCCGCTGTCCTCCTTGTTTCAGAACTTGAAAGTTATAAGCTGCCAGCTTTAGGGAGCTGTTGTGTCCTCTGGGCGGCAACGCAACTTCTGTGTCGGTCCATTGCCTTCTGTTCCGCTCACTTTGAGGTATCAAAAAACAGTCTCCTAGGACAGTCTTCTTTAGGGTTATTACTGAATATCTCATAGAGTCACGCTAGAGTAAAGCGAGAGGGGCCGAGAGGAACTCTCAACTCTGATTGGCTGACACTCCGACCAATCAGGCTGTAAATGTGTTTGGTCCGAACGGACTTGCGAATAGCGTGGTGTCCGGTCGTTTTAAACGGCTCTTGTGTAACGCATTTGAAACCCGACTGTACCTGATTGTATGCCTATCATATGACATTTTGTGTGCCACTCCCCCCTCTGTTCCCCTATTACAGGTACCACGGACGAGGCACCTGTCCATTTGGGATGTATGGTTATCCATAGATATGTGCGACCCGGTTCGATTGTGGGGCCACAGTATGTTGTATGAAGCTGATTCGTACGGGGTGGCTGTGTCTTGGATCTGACTTGATCCGTGTGATTGACGCAGTAATCTATCTGGCGCCCGCTTTCGATAGTAACCACGATATCCCCCAATTAACACCTCGCCCTCATGTGCACGCTGTAGTGTCCTTTCTGCAAGTATCGTCCTCTTGACGTTTCATAGGCAGTTGAACGCTGGGTGTGCTCATTGGGCTGTGGATTGAAGGATGGGGACCGTGGGTACAACTTTGAACTGCCGGCAGGCTTCCTCAAGATGGACTGAAGTGAGAGGGACACCAGAGTCGGTGTAACGAGCTGAATGGCCGCTTTGTCGCGTATGCGTCGACTGGTCTCCGGTTTGGCTGTAAATATAGCGACCGTCAGTACAATGTGACAAATTTGGCCTACTGAGTGATTTCATTATGAATGTGGCTCTCATGACGTCTGCTTGCGTGTGTTTGTTAGGCCGATGTTTGCGCGAGGTCCTGAAGTTTTGCCTGCTTTTGTGAAAATACTTAGAGTTGCTCTGCTGAAATCGACATCATGGGTTTCGGTTGTCCCCAGCGGGTCCCTCTTGCAGACTGTGATGCAACTCGCATGTCGGCCCTTGGTTTGACGTCTGGCGGAATTCGGTTCATCAAAAGGTAAAGTACCTTGAGACAGCCCTTTATAAAGACAAGAAGAAACTATTCAAACTGTTACTATTACAACTCTGCGAGCACTGACCGTTCGCCAATTGACACAGAGTTCGGATGGTTAAAAGCTCTTATGTAGGTGGTAAATCGTAGATCTTGAAGTGTTATTTTGTTTATTGTTGAAGAACAACGGGGTGCGTAAGGCAATTGGGTCAGATAACTGACGTTCAAGTGATACAGCGACAACCGCATGCAGGGCGGGAAGGGGTTGAGCAGGGAATTCGTGAACAAAGTGTGCGGGCAAAATATACTTTCAGTTGCCCAGGCCGAGGAAGAGGATTCAATGGAGCCCTATGCTTAACGGTGTGACCCACAAAATACTGGAAGGATATAGAAGACCCTTCATTTAGCCTGAGTGGATAGTCTGACCTTCTCGGCTACAGGGGACGGGCCGAGCCTGAGAGTACAGGGAGTGAATTATTGGTATCTCACCGTTGATGCTATTATATACATTAGATGCGCTTGAGACCACGTCGGGCTCTTGATGGTTGTTAATTGTCCTTCGACCTCACGGGATAATTCCTAGATGGCCACAGTCAACCGTGGCTGATGGGATTGTGAGGTTTTTAGAGTCGAAACTTTCTAATCGGTCCTCTTTTTGTGAAAGGTAGCATAGCTGCTTCCATAAGTACCAACATGCCGGGCACTTGGAGGAAACGCTACGACTTTCACAACTCCATCGAATTTCCCTCCCGAGTGTCTGATACTACGCCTTTCTTAGTACAGGGGTTCGCCGCTCTTCGTCTGGCTGCTCTTCCTATTATGATTGCGGGGCGAGATGGCCCAAGTGGTTAGAGCGCGAATTTACTGACCGGAAGGTCCGTGGTTCGAACCCGATCTCTGCCTCTCAACTTCCCCTGTCTAGGCTTGGGCGACCTGGCAGTATCCCAGCCCTCGTGCCTGTGTGTAGCATGACAGCTAGACACCGAAAGGGTGCTACAACCGATCGGTTTATTGGGTGGAGCTCAGTTTCCCAAGGTTCAACCATGCCAGGAAAGCCAACATAGAGCAGACCGACGGGGAAAACCGAATCCCCTTAATGCGGGAAACCGTACTATAAGGTGGTCCTTGTCCTGTGCGATAGGTCTGCTGGCAGTAAGGCGTTTCTTTCAAATGACCAGTATATCCATATTTATGCAAGCAGCGATGCTGCCTTCCTTTTTAGGAAGACGTTTAAAATGCGTCCGAGGCTGAGTTAGAAGAGCATTCGGATTATGGAGAATAAATAACGCTTCATTCGTCCAAGAACAAGCTGAAATGAGCTGAAATGTGCGTTAAAAACGAGTATATAGGGTGATTACAATAATAAGCAGAAAACAACCATGACAATAGTTCAGAAACAGTCGACCCTTAAACCCACACACTCCGATCGCCCAGGTAGTTAGCCTAAGCGCTGCTGAGGCCCGATTGGGTGGTCGTTTTCGTTTGGACACTAGACGCAAGGACAACGGAGATCGCTTACTTCAGATGTGTGCCGATCACAGGCTGTTCCTTTGCAGTACGAATTTCCGGAACAGCGGAAATCGCTTAACAACGTGGTGCTCACCATCAAACCAGCGCCGAATCCACATCGCCGTCAGTTATCGGTGGCGAGGGTCAATCCCCGCCTGCCACTCCTTCTGGGACACCGGCGTGGGCTCCGACCATGCACTTGTACGCTGCTGTTTTTCATTGCGCTTTTCAGGTGTACGCAAAATGCGCACACCTCGCTTGGCCATTGAGAAGCTAGTGGACCCAGAAGTCAAACAAAACTATCAGAACCAGCTTCTCGAATGCCTGCCGGACGGTAAGATGTCGGATATAAACAGCCACTGGGAAAAAGTATCCAAGGCGCTTCTCAAAGCAGGAGCGTCT